TAAGTAAAATTAACTGGTTTTCTGCCTAAATTTAAAAAGGCAGTTGATTTTAGTGAATGCATAATCACTTTATAAAAACCTTATAACAAAATTTAGTGTTGGAGGGAGGGTGTAGGAAAGAAAGTATGAGTGCTTGAGTGATTTCTCCTTATAATTTTCATTTAAAAGATTTTCTTCTCTTTCTTTTGTCAGTAATCACCCAATCGTTCTTGGCCCAAACAATACCAATCTGCCCAAAATATTCAGTATAATTGCAGAAGGAGAAATGCATGAGGCAATTAAACATGAAGATCCTTGTGCCAAACGTCTGGCTAATGTAGTTCGCCAAGTACAGGTAAGCAGATTTGGTTAAATTGGGGCAGGAGGAATAAAATTGTTTCTTTGTTTTTTTGTTTTTTCATATCCTTTATTAGAAGAAGAAATAGAAATTTAATAAGCTAAGGAAATTTTATTTTTATATTCTCTTGTCTCCAAGCCTCAAATGGATTATATTTAACATAATCTGTGTGTATACCAATTATTTATTAGAACTAAAACCTTTGTCTTAAATTTGAGATATTTTGAACCTTCCAGTTGGTGCTTAGTACAACTCATGCATAAATTGTCTGCGTATTTGTGAGAAAAAAAAGATGTACCTGGTTCCATAATAAATAAGGGGGGGTGCATCTTTTTAGTACTGTAAGCATTATTGTTTAAAATGATTTTTATTCCCTAAATTCATGTGTGTTGGTTACTTGAATTTGTCATCTACCTAGTGCATTTTTATCAGTGCAAAGATGAAGAAAACTGTAAATGCAACGAACTTTAAAGAAATGAACAGATTTCTTTTATAATGATACTCATCAAACTAATCTACTTGGAAAGAAAATATTTTGGCATTACGACTGTCTACCTAATGATGATTATTAAAATACTTCCAAATGACCATTTTACCAAATCTAAATCTGTGAAAATGTTTTTTCCCCTAGACATCTGGAGGATTGTGGACTGAATGCATAGCACAGCTCAGTCCTGAGCAGCAGGCAGCAATACAGGAGCTCCTGAACTCTGCTTGAAGGGCCTTAATATCACCACCAGAAAACTAACTCCAAATAAACGTTTACCCTTTTGTTTAGGTTTCTTTGTTTTGTTTTTGAGCAAAAGAGAACAGTTGAGTTTTGTGTAGGGCATTCTTCTCCAAAGCTACAACAGCAGGAAGAGAAGCTCTGGGTTTCAGAATGGTGTTTAAATGGATTTCTATCATACCACTGAAGAAGTTCCCCGTTAGCCCTACAGTAGCACTGAAGAGTATTTTTCTATTGGTATAACCCACCCATGTGAAGGTGAAAGGGAAATGAAATTAATTTATCTCATTAGACATAAGGAAATTTAAGACAAAACAGCTTTAAGATCCGTTACTCAGCATAGATGTGTGTGAAAACAAATTCTGTACATCTAGTGTTAATTCTATTAATTGGAGTGTGAATCTTTTTTGTAGGATAGAAAGAAGCCTACACAGCAAACTAGTAGATCCAAAAATTGAAAAATAAAATGCTTAAGACAAAAAACAAGCATGAAGATGTCATATTTGATGTCACTTTTGGTTCTTTTTCCCAAAAGGCTTATGCAGTAACTCAGTTTGGAAGGCTTTTAAGCTTCCAACCCTTGAATGTGAAGTGTTGGCATGTCTAGCAGTAGTCTCATTCACTCCTCAATAAACAACATTGAAATACAAAAAAATGTTTGTGTAAAAGTTCCATACTGTCTGGCTTTGATTCATTCAATGTTTTTAATATAAGAATAATTAATATTTTTTTAAAGTAATAACTATGGCTCTGAATGTTTTTTCCCCTAGCATTTCCCTTGTGCAATTCAAACTTGAAAACATCTAGTTTTTACCATCTTCCACTTTCATTTAAGCTAAGTTATGATACACCTATAGCGTTCACAATTGGTGTCTTTTTAAAACTAAGATGGATAAGATAAAAAAGATTTGGCTTAGTATTTTTATTGCAAATTGTAATTGCTATAGAATTGCACACGACTTTTAAATTTAATTTTATGAGTATAATCACTAAAATTTCTGACAAATTCAGTAAAATGTATGAATGGTTTTTTCCCTTCATGTATTAACCTCATAGTAAATGACTTGTTCTTGTTTCTTTAAATTTTTCTAAGGGATCTTAATAGATTTCTGCTGAAACATCAGTGTTAACATTTTTATAGTTTGTACTAAATTTAACCGTGATATAAAAATGAATTTTATGCCTAGATCAGAATTTAAAATTAAAGGTTTTTTTCTTTAAATGATTTGCATTACTTTATTAAAATTAAATCTGAAGTGGAATAGAACGTAGAGTGGATTGTATTAAAATGGTTCACTTGGTAGCAAATACCCTTTAAATATATTTTTGATTTTCAGCACACCATTAGCCCAGAAGCTTTGGTGTCTGGCAGAACATGTTTTGAATGACTTCACTATCACAATCCTTGCTTTCAATGGGTACCTATTTGACTCTTGTAATGTATAGGGGGTAATATTTGGAGCTGCTTTATACCCTGTATTCCTGTTGGAGTAAAAATGTGTCAAGACAGGCCCTTTCTGGTTTCTTACATAGAGTTTGAAAACCAATCATGTACCGATGCCAATTAACTAGAGCAGTTAGGTTTTGTTTTTATTACTACACTTAAAACATGTTAAAAACGTGGTGCACCTGCCCAAGTTGGTTTGAAAATGGAGAATCTAATATGTGCAAAGCACTGTACTGGCTCTTATGGGTAAGAACCTAGATTCTGGTTTTAAACATTAATGAGAAAGTCAGAAAATGTACGAATAAAAAGAGTCTAAGGTCCCTGAAGCGGTAAATGGGCTTATATCAATTAACTGCAGAACTGACTACAACATCCTTCTTGATAGAAGTAGAGAAACAAGTAATTGGAGTTAAATCAAGTTTAATCAGGGAAGGTTGCTATTAAAGGCTGTTAATGTGACATGATCTGAAATCTAGGGCTCATAACTAATTGTAATATATTAGTCCATGAACTAATGATTTTTTTTTAAATTAGGGAAACATTTTTAATATCTCCTTTTGTCTACACAAGATGAAAATTTATGATTTTTCCTTTTGTACCAAATTTAGTGTCCCAGTGGCCTTGCATGTCAACAAGTAATGATATATTTGTGAATCCAAGTTATTTCTGGAGGAAAAAAAGTGTGCGCCTCTTTCTGGGTATGTTGTAACAAAGGATGAGGTTACATGCACAGGTGTTAGAAATTTTTAGCATAACTCTTAGAGTATTTTTTAATGCTGTAAATTTAAAAAGTAAAGTCTTAAAGGTAATTTGACACTTTTGTAATGAGCAGCAATTGTCAGCTCTGGAGTTATAGTTTGACTAGCAGAACCATCAGTAAATACATAAGCAAATATTCTTGCTGCACCTGGTCTCATAATATGGGAGGGGTGCATATTTACAGTGCTGTAGCATTATATTTTTGTGATCTAATCTTGAATGATTTTATATTTACAATTAAAGCAATTCGAAAGGCTAAGGAGCTAGCTAAATGTTTTACTACAAGTATTGCGTCAATCTTCTGGCTCTTGTCATGTTCTATAGATAGAAATCACTTTGTTCCTCCTAATTCCTCTTTGCCTCAAAGGAATAATAACTAAAACCTAGCCATCTTTCATTTTTCTCAGCCCTAAAATTATGAGTACCACTGTTTTAGAAGAAAGTGAATTATCTGCAAGGAGTAATAGGCTTGCATTTTTATTTCCAACGCTTCCAATTCTGAATGAGTGGGAAAGGGGATGGCAAACTCTAAAACCATCCTGGACTGACTGACCCCTTTTTTTCACACAGTTATAATTCTGACAGTCATTTGCTAGATAATATTTGGACTTATTTCTGCATAGTATTTATATTATACATTTGAATGAATAACAATTTGAAGATAAATTATAGTTCAATTATTTCTAAAAAATCCAACAATGCAATATGATTTTTATGTAAAACGGCACAAATTTTTTTTTTTTTAATTATAGTTAAGGCAGCAGAGTTTAATTCTGAAATACATTACTTGATAATTCTGAATCTTTCATTGTATGTTTCCTTGATCTATACATTTTTGTCCTCTTGACTAGTATTCAGATTGTAATGGGAATCAAGACTAGTGCCATTTCCTGTGGATTAGAAATTAGTTCCCCGTCTTCTCTGGAAGTTTTGTAACAGATGGGTAGAAAATGTAAGTTTTGAATTGCAGCCGGACAACATTCTGTGGTCTTAAGGTACACTGTGAAAGATGATGGCGTCTAATGGTTAAGATCAGGGGTAAGCAAACTTTCTCTAAAGGACTAGAGAGTAAATATTTTTACTTATGTAAAGTTTTGCAGGTCCCATGGTTCCTCACAACTGCTTTTCTGCCATTCTAGCACAAAAGCAGCTGTAGACATTACTAAACAAATAGGCGTGGCTATGTCTCATTAAACTCCATGAACAGGTAGATTATATATAGTTTGCTGATGCCTGATTAAAACATGACTGCTTAGGTTCAGAAATCTCACTGTACATTTATTGATACTTTGAACAAATTCACGTAAATGCCTTAGTTGCTTTCTTTCTAAAATGGGAATAATAATAGTACACACATAGTCCCAACTGCTTATTAGTCTGGGCCCTTGGGTGAGCCCTTAACCTCTGTACCTCAATACTTGTGAGAAGTTCATGGACAGTATCAGCACCCACAGGTTGGTTGTAAGGCTTGAGGTAATATGTGTATATAATATATAGGAACACCTAAGACAATGCCTAGTAGTGCAGATTTGCTATTACGAGTACTTGTTTGAAGGGATTATTAAATTTGGATAGTATCTGTCTTCACAACTAGTTAGCTGTCATGTTTATTCCATGGAAAATGAAAGCAATAAGAATCTTAAGTACGGCCATGTTACCCTGAACAAGCCTGATCTCGAAAGCTAAGCAGGGTCGGGCCTGGTTAGTACTTGGATGGGAGACCACCTAGGAAGACCAGGTGCTGTAGGTGTAAAAAATAAGGGGTTGTAAGATGACAAGTTCCTTGCAATCTGTGAGGTCAACCAGGGGTTGCCTTGCCTTAAAAAAAAAGTCTAAATTTTATTAAGCAATTAAGAACTACTATGGCTTGAGTGTGTAAGTGCTGAGCAAAACACATGTGCTGCCTTCAGGTAGGGGATACATCATACTACAATTATATAGCAAGGAAAAGTAGAGGATGCGGAGTGTATAATAGGAAGAAATCAGGGAAACATTTAGTAATGCAAACAGGATGTGCATCCAGTGGCCTCAATGTAGGCATTCTGGCAAACTACCAGAGACTAAAAATATGTTCATTCTTGGTCAATGAAAACCTCCCTGAGGTGAGACTCTACCCAGCCTTTCTACCTCATTTGGGATTGCCCTGGGGCTGTATCACAGAGCTGGCCCAGAGTGGGGCACTTGGGACCAACTAGTGAGAATCCTGACTCCTGCCTGAGAGGAGTATTACTATTAAGTCATGATTAGGTTGTCAGTAGAGAAAATGTGCCAAGTTATTTGTAGCCCGTTTAGAAATAGCCCCAAGGCCCAGTTTTACCATTTCTAGAAACCTAGTGGAGCAGGGAGTCTTTCTGTTTGTCCCAGCTGTATGTGGCTGCCAGTTAACTACTTAATCTCAGGTTCTTGGATTTTTCTCAAACACTTCTCTTGGACTCTGTTGACACATTTTATGTAGTTTTAAACATTTAGCTACCGAAAAGCCCCTTCGATCAGGAAATAGCTAAAGGATACTTGTAGGGTTATGACTCTCGCATTTTTCTGATTAAAAAAGAATATTTAAAGTTTATTATTAAAGAGTCAGAAAAGATAATTCTGTATTTCAGAAAAATGCAGCCCATCAATGTTTTTAGTATTCTTGAATTAAGTCTCATGGAAATGATCAATAAGACATAAGACAGAAACTCACATTGTAGCTGGTGTTTTACAAAGAGTAAAAATATAAAATAGCAAACATGGAGACATTAGAATGGATTGAAATAACTTTTTAAAACAGCAATAACTAAACTGAATAGCAATAGTTAATTCTGAGGAGCAAAGGTTACATTTCACACCACTAACAGGTATTTCTGATTTGCAATAGGGATCACCCCTTTTTTCCACTCCCTTCCCCAATATAGGAACCTCTAGGTCTCTGTCACCAGAGGCTATGAGGCAGGGGCTCTGTGCTGGCCTCAGGGATCCTACTCACTGAAATGACTTGCTTACCCAGACAGCCTGCCCAACTTTAATGCAGTGATCATCTCTTAAGAAGTCATCCGGAAGGCATACAAAGCTGGAGGGACAGCCAGCAGGGTCTGGCATTCAACTTCAGTCTTGTCCTTCTCCACTTGATAATGGAGCCCTGGAACCACAGTCTTCATTCTGTTTCGAAAACTCCTGCCTTGACTTGCAGGTAAGGAACTGTCTCCCTTTGTCTCCACTTTTGCTTTATTGTACTAGGAGAGCGTTTGTTTCCTGCCTGGACTTGTTTTCAGTGCAAACGTCCTATCTCAGCCTTTATTTGCACTCTCTGGAATGGATTAATAATTTCTAAATAGTTTCTTTTGGCTGCTCCCAAAGCTTCCTCTGATTTGTGTGTGGAAAGGAGTATTGGTGACAATTCAATAGAATAATGTAACCAAAGTGCTTCAGGGGACATGGGTAATAGCTGTTACTATGATGGCTACATCCGGGCCATGGGGACCACCCCCAATCATTCAAACATTTCAAAACCAACCAAGATTAAGGATTTACTGATAATCTGAGCTTTCTGCTTCTGAACTCATCTGAACAAAATTGGAAATATTTATGAAAAGACTCCTGACACATTTTCTCAAATCAGATGGCAGGGGTAAGTGGATAAGGAAGGAATGCTCTCTTCTTTTAGTTTTCATACATTACAAAATACATGAGCATTTTGAAGCCTAAATTCTGGAGAGTCTTAATTTTTAATTATTTAACTTTTTATACAAAGTTCCACCTGGTTCAAAATTTGAAATTTATCAAACGGTGAAAATTCTCTTCCCACACTTGTCCCTCAGCCACACCCACCGGCTCCCCTTGTGAAAGAAAAATTCTGACTAACAGAACCTTTTTGCTTCAAAAGCCCTTCCAGAAGGAAATTAGCACTTCTGATGAAATGTGTGCGTGTCTGGTGACTATGAATCAAGTTAAAAATAATTCTGAGAAACGATCTACCCACCTAGTAACCCAGACATTTGGGTGTTTTGTTTTGCTTTTTTATAAGTCAACAATGATTATCTACTCTAATTATTTTTACCTCTAAATGTCTCTGCTATGAAAGAATCTTTGAAGTTGGCCTGCTTGAGGCCTATCTCCTTGCAATAAATTTATAATAAAATTTCAACATAACTGAATTATCTAAAAAGGATGTTTTTAAACATCTTCCCAAGAAGGAAAGATTATCTGTTCTTAGGTATCCTTCCAGGCTTATAAATATTCAAATGGCTTTTGAAATAAAAGTTATATCTTTTTGGCTAAGAATTTTCAGTATTCAATTCTGTCAAAGATGGAGGTTAAACATTTTTTGCTCTTTAAATGACTATAAAATTGATATGCTCAGTACTGGTTATAAAAATATTAAAACTGGGTCATTATATTGATTTAGAACCTCATTTCATCTTAAACTAAGTGACATCAGACTAAATGTCCTTTTATTATTAAATCAGTATTAAAAGTTCCACTCAGGGAGCATATTTTCAAATATGTTTTCATAAAATAATTATATTTACTAGCATTTATGTTATTTTTTTTAATTTAATAACATTGTTCTGGTTTTAGTATATTTTTGTGGTTGCCTGCTATTTATATTATAGCAAATGATACTAGTGTTTCATTTATGGTAATGTTATAAATTTTCTTTTAGAATACTTTTTAGAAAGTCAGTTAATTGATTTTTAAAAATGTCAACAGAGCCACAATAGCTTTGCGGGTGTGGCAAAAATCATGCAGATGGTACTCATGATTGAAGTCTAGGAAATACTTTATCTTGGCTGAGGTTTGCAATGCAATCATATAGGTTCAAAAAGTTTTGTTTTACCAGCTTATGAGAAATACAATGCAATGATTAATATATCAGGTTAAATGAACAAAACTGAGCAAGAATATAGCTCAGCCAATAAAACACTTGCAGGTATGAACTAGACAAAGGCAACAGAACTATACAGGTTTGTGGGGTTTTTTAACTTTTTATTTTAAAATAATCTTCAACTTACAAAAAAGTATAAAAAATACAAAGAACTTCCATATATTCTCTACTGAGGTTCATTACTTTTAATATATTGTGATATTTACTGTATCTTTTGAATTACTTGAGAATGACAGTCTCTCCTTGACTAAGGTCTAATGAGGATCCCCTGAGTTTTTTTTCATCTAGACTTTCAGACTTCCACGTTCGGTTCTGCATTTTCAATATTAGTAAGAATCCTACTAAGTCAGTTTATCCATTCTCAGTATCTGATCCATTTCCTCATCTCTCACCATCCCCCAGGGATTGTCTAATGATGACCCTGGCCTGCCTTCAGCAAGACTCTTGTTAGGTCAGTTCAGTGAGAATTCTCCCTGACTACTGATGTTTCCTTGAGTAATTTCCCATGCAGATCCCCAACCTGCGCCTTGGCTATAAATTCCCACTTGTCCTTGTATTTGGAGTTGAGCCAGTCTCTCTCCCTCACTGCAAAGCCCCATTGTGGTATTCCCTACAACTGTGGCAATAGTCCCCTTAAATAAAGTCTGCCTTACCTTCTTTAGCAAGTGTCATGAATAATTTTTTCTTTAACAAGTTGTAGAATCATAAGCCTTCATTCTTTAGTAATTCAGCATATATCTCCTAAGAATAAAGACATTTTCTTATATAACCACAGTATAATCCTTATCAGGAAATCTAACATTATTACACTTATACTACAGTGTCCATATTGAAACTTCACCAGTTATGCTGGTTATTATTGTCTCAGCTCTAAGCTTACCTTTCTCTGCTCTGCTCTGTGACACTGGGGTTAAGACTTTGCTAAGTTCATTTTCAGGGCTCCCTTGCCAACTGGCTTCTGTTTGGATCCTACCAGTGGGATGCCCTTTTGGGAGATCTGAAGAGGAGAGAAGGGACATCCTTTTGTTTCCAGTTCCTGGTAGCACCCCTTCAAGTAGAAGAAGAAAGTTGCAACTTCAAACTCCAGCTTCTTTAGGTCTTCTCAGCATTAGCCACAGCATGCGCCTCCTATCCCCACCTTGGAAGTCAAGCACCAGGCATATGTGGGCCCCTCTCCTGAACTCTGGTCCTGGCAGTCCCAGCTCTTCCTTTTGTTCCCCAGCCCTAAGGTGGTGGTTAGTTTGAGTATTAATATCTTGGTTACCTCAACCCTAGGCATGATAGCTCTTCATGGATTTACCAATATTTAAGTGTCTCAAGTTTTATTCATTCAGCCTTCTAACATCTATATAACCAATTTTTCTTTTTGCTCTATGTCCTATTTTTTCATTGAATTTTTAAAATTGTAAAATACACATAATGTAAAAGTTAGCATCTTAACCATTTTTAAGGGCACAGTTCAGTAGTTTTAAGTATTTTTATATTATTGTGCAACAACTTCTAAGCCTGGAGGTACTTGGGTTAAATCTGCCCTCAACACAGGAAGGTTTTTAACAATCATCAGGGCCCACGTAGAGCACGTGCTCGATGAACTGATCGAATGGAAGGATAAATGGAAAATAGAATACTGAAAGGTAAAAGAATGAATACATCTTTTTTTGTATGGAAAGTAACATGCGGTATTGGAAAAAGCATGGATGTTGAAGTCAGACCAACCTGAATTTGAATTGCACATATATGCTCTTCACTGAGTGTGTGAATTTGGAAAATGTACTTGGCATTGTGATCTCTCTACCTCAGTTTGCTCATTGGGGAATGGAGAAAAACCTACTTTGCAGGGTTGCTTTGAAAATTAAGTGAGATCACAAATGCGGATGGCCTAGGAAATAATGGGTGCACAGCAAGGTTGGCTCTCTTCCTACCCCTCCCAGAGTTACTTTATGTTGTACATAATGACAGTGGGCCCATATATAGTTTATAATATGTGAAAGTTGACATTTTACAATGTCTAGTAAATTTTTTTATCTCAGAACAAAAATTTAGTTGAGAGGTTAATGGTATATACAGTACAATAATAATCAAGATGGAATTTATTGTGACTAATTTATCCTGTGGGTCTTAAAACCTAAGAACAATAGATAGTTGAAAAAAGCTTTTGCTTTTACCTTAAAATGTATGCAAAATATATTTTTAATTATACATTTTAAAGATTATCCCTGAATTATGCTAATAGGAGTAAATAGCACCCCACAGAACTACGTATGTGGAAGATAATATTACTGTTTTTAATAATTGAGACTACCAGTAGTTTGCATCACGAGCAGTTTATGAATGGTTTTTAAATTCTATTTGGGGTGATATTTTAGGTTATTTAGAATTTTGTCTCTCTGGAGAAAAATGTGAAAACTTGAGGGGGCAGCAAAGGAACATCATAGACAATGACTTCAAGCTTCATCATTTTTTGGGAAAAAAATACTAACCTATACTGAAGCTGCTTCTAAAGAATATACTAATTATGTTAGAACTACCTCAACACTGAGGCCCTTCTCCAGTCATTAGGTGTGTAATGTGGCTGCCATTTTCTGTTACTGGTCAAAATTACACTTTCAACCTTCCATGGTCAAATTTCAGAGCATAAATAGGCAAGAAATGCAAGTTATCATGAATAATTAGAGCCCTTGGGGCAAAAAAAGATAGCAAATGATTCCGAAGTGGAATGATTATCTTCTGAGTTAATTATTAGTGTGTCTGTATTATCTTTACTGATCCTCCTCCACTGTTGGGACATATAATCTAATTAACAAAATAAACTTGGTATGTAAAGTTTGAGGCCTGAGGTATTATTTATGTAAAATTATTTACATAAAATTATTTTGAAAATTTTCCACATTGGAGGATTTTTTTAAAAAACGCTTTCTATACATTCTGTGCCTGATAATTATTTGACCTTCAATAAATATGGAGAAAAGAATTTGTTGCTATTTGATATCTAATGTTATTTTTTAAACAATGTTTAGATCACAGGTTCTATGCAATCCCATCAGAATTATAGCGTGGTACAATATAGTTAAGCAAATGAATAAGAAGAATTTGGAGAAACCACTAGAGTTTTATGATCAAAATAATAACATAGTAGGATTAAGGGAATCAATGAGGATAAGTATTAGAAAATATGAAAAAATAACATCTTACCCTAAAATACAGGTTAAGCTAGTTTTATGTACTTAACACTTTTATGAAAAGAAATATGTGTACCATATGGTGAATACTTTTTACATTGTCATAAATTTGGCATATCATGTTATAAAATATGATAGCCTTTATATGTAATAAAAACATATAATTTTGACATAACACTGGATTTGTTAAATTGTGTCTTAATTCTCCCACACTAAGCAGTCAACATGAACACTCAATTTATTAATTCCTGTATATGATCAAAGTTTGTGTATGCTAAAATATGATATGGCTAATGTTAAACATGTTTTCATGTGCTATTTGCCATGCATATCTCCTGTTCAGTGAAATATCTGTCTTTATCTTTGTGTATTTTACAACTGAATTGCTATTCTGTTTAGGTATTTTTGCTGCCAAGTTTTGAAAGCTCTTTGTATATTATAGATATAAGATCTCTGTCAGATATATGATTTGCTAACATTTTTTCTCAGTCAGCAGCTTATCTTTTCATTCTCTTAATAGGGTCTTTTGCAGCACAGAACAGGATGGGCTCTGTATGCTGAAAATCACAACATATTGATGAAATAAATCAAATAAGATCTAAATAAATGGAGAGATATACTGTGCTCACGGATTAGAAGACTCAATATAGTAAAATGTCAGTTTTCCTCAAATCGATATGTAGATTAAACACAGTTCCTATCAAATCTTAACAAGCTTTTAAAAATATGTAGATACAATATGACTCTAAAATGTATATGGAATGGCAAACTAGAATAGCCAAAACAATTTTGAAAGGAAGAATTAAGTGGACAAAATACTTTACGTTATGTTAAGATTTACTATAGCTATCATAACCAAGATAGCATGTTACTTGACACATAGGATAATGGAAAAGAAAAGAGAACCCAGAAATAGATCAATACAATATATCCAATTAATTTCTGGGAAAAGTGTGAATTAATTTAATGGATGAAGAATAGTCTTTTCAACAACAAGTTGGACATCCATAGATAAAAAATATTTGACCCAAACTACATATAGGATACAAAAATTAATTCAAAACTGGATCTTGAATTTAAATGCAAAATGTAAAACTATAACACTTCTGGAAGAAAGCATAGGAAAAAGTCTTTAAGGCTTAGAGCTAGGCAGAGTTCTTAGACGTGACACCAAAAGGACAAACCCTAAAAGAAAAATTTAGTGAATTGAACATCATCAAAATTTTTGCGTCCCGTCCAAGTTTCAGGAACCATTCTTTCTACCTCCTAGTCTGGATATGGGAGCTGCCATTTTTTTAAATGATTCCATCTCTGGCTAGAAGGGATGAGACATGTGGGCCAATTGAAATACCTAGTCTTCTAGTCTTGAGAATTGGTGGAGCATGAACACATGATGCAAGCCAGGCCAATCAGAATACCTCTGGGATTCTTCTACCTGTGGTGGGAGAAGTGAGTTCCCTTTTTTTCTAATGATGGGACGTAAGGGTAGGAGCCCAAGAAGGGTCAGCGCCACATGAGACAGCAGGTATACAATGGAAAAGCATGCCAAAGAAAACAGTAATTGATCAGGCTTACATGTTGTTACATCGAGGTACCAGCCCTGGCTGACCCCACCCCTTCTCCAAGGCTGAAGGGAGGAATATCCCAGCATACCTGTAACTAGTACACTGTTAGGGAAGCTCTGCCATAGCCAGCAAATCTCCCTTTGTTGTATATGCTATTCGAGTTGGGTTCCTGTCACTTGCAATGGAAGGAATTCTGACTACCTCAGGGCAAAGCTAATTTGTGGATTCAGGACTACCTGATTTGAAAGGCTGTGTTTTTTACACCACGTGACATACTGCCTCCATCATGGTGCCCTCATCTTGTTGAAATGACACTATCTAGAGATACCTTTACCTTATCTTGGAAACTGTCTCTTTTGGGGAATCATCACGTGTACATCTATCATGGTTTCAACTTTTTTTTCAACTATAATAAATGCTCCTGTTAGTAAAGAACATTGAGATTCACTTAAATATTGTTGATTGTGGTTCCTTTTTGGCACCAGGGACTGGTGCTCCTATGAGAATCCAATGCCTGATGATCTGAGGTGGAGCTGAGGCAGCGATGCTAGCGCTGGGGAGCGGCTGCAAACACAGATGATGCTTTGCTCCTTGCCCACCATTCACCTCCTGATATGTGGCCCGGTTCCTAACAGGCCATGTACCAGTACCGGTCCACATCTTGGAGGTTGGGGGCCACTAGTCTACACTATGCCAGTGAGTATGATTTCTCATGTTTTTTCATATAATACCCAAGTATTCTATGATGTTATAATTTTTGTGTTTAGCAAAAAGAAATTGAGGCTCCATGAAAGTAAGGAATTTGTCCAAGGCCAAAGATAATTTTCATCCCACCGATACTCCTGTGTTCCCTGTGAACACTGCCCTTAATGAGCTCCAAGAGTTTATAGCCTCTCTGTGCCTTGATTTCTCATGTTTTTTCATATAATACCCAAGTATTCTATGATGTTATAATTTTTGTGTTTAGCAAAAAGAAATTGAGGCTCCATGAAAGTAAGGAATTTGTCCAAGGCCAAAGATAATTTTCATCCCACCGATACTCCTGTGTTCCCTGTGAACACTGCCCTTAATGAGCTCCAAGAGTTTATAGCCTCTCCGTGCCTTTTCTTTTTTTTTTAATTAAAAAAAAAAAAATCCTATTGCAACTCTCATCTTTCTGGTGAGAATGCCAAATGATTCAACCACTGTGGAAAAGTTTGCTGGGTCCTCATAAAATTAAATGTAGAATTACCATATAACCCATAAATTCCACTCTGGGTATGTACCCAGAAGAATTAAAAGCAGGTACTCAAACGAATACAAGTACATGCGTGATCACTGCACTGTTCACAGCCAAAAGGTGGACACATGCCAAATGTCCCTCAATGGATGCAGGGATTAACCATCAGTGATATACTCATACAATGGAATATTATTCAGCCATGAAAGGAATGAAGTATTGATACATGCTATAACATGGATGAACCTCAAAAACATATAAGTGAAAGAAACCAGACACAAAAGTTCACATATTACATGACTCCGTTTATATAAAATATCTAGAAAAAGTAAATCTAGAGAGAGAGAATGCAGATTGGTGGCTGCCAGGGCCTGGGGGAGAGGAGAAACAGGGAGAAACTGCTTAACTGATTAAGAGTTTTATTTTGAAGTGATAGAAATATTTGGGAACTAGACAGAGGTGCGGTTGCTCAACATTGTGAATGTACTAAATGCTACCAAATTTTTCACTTTAAAATCTTTGTTATTTGAACTTCACCAGAATAAAATTATAAAAATTCTTATACACACATACATATCATTGCACTGAAATGTTTAAAGTCATCATACTGTACTATGACAGTTAATTTTATGTGTCAACTTGACTGGGCTGAGGGATACCCAGACAGCTGGTAAAACAATACTGCTGGGTGTGCCTGTGAGGGTATCTCCAGAAGAGATTAGCATTTGAATCCATAGACTGAGTAAAGAAGATCTGCCTTCACCCATGCGGTGAGCATCATCCAATTGGTTGAGGGCCTGAATAGAACAAAGAGGCAGAGGAAGGGCAAATTTGCTCTCTGCTCGAGCTGGGACATCCACCTTCTGTCCTCAGACACTGGTGCTCCGGTCCTCGGGCCTTCGGAGTTGTGCTGTATTACACAAGCAGCTCTCCTGGGTTTTCAGCTTCCAGACAGTTGATTTTGGCCCCGGCCTCTATAATCCCATGAGCGAATTCCTATAATCAATCTCTCTCATATGTATGTACATCTGAATCTTCTATTATATACAAACATACAAAGTATATATATAATAGTGTGTGTATTACTTATTCTGTTTATCTGGAGACCCATACTAATATCTGTACATGTTGTTTTTCTTTTTTTTAAATTTTTTTGGTGCAGTGTTTCTTTTCCATTTTAGCTTGGCTTCTTGCCTTTCCCCTCTTCCCTGTATCTCCATCAGTGTACTCCTCAGAGAAATTCATGTTAACAGTGTGTTTCTCTACAAATGTATAAGACATGTATGCATATATATATATATATAGACCTATACGAGGACGTTTAGTTGTGTTATAAAATAAGATACTATACATGCCTTCTGTATCTTGCTTTTTTTTTTCCACCAGAAATTCCTACTGAAATAGAGCCAAGTACTGGTATAACTCTAATTTATTTATTTTTAGTGGCTGTATATTGCCCTTCTAGCAAAAACTGAAAGAAGACCCTCATTTAATGTACAATCTTTGCTATATGTTCTTATTTTATTCTTTCCTTTTGGTTCCTTAAAAGCCCTCTAATTCTGCCCATCTCCAAAGAAGGCACTGAAAACCCAAGATCAGTTAGTCATGTACTTAAAAAATTGTTTCCAGTTGTGCTGATGGACATAACCATTTTATCTCACCCAGGCCCTCTTGGGACAGGTGACGTGTATTTTAAAAAGGGCCAAAGCTAAAGTGCAATTTGTAACTGTTAGGAGCAGTTAACTTATCCACATGGGGACAGAGCGGAAGGCCTAGGCCTCATTACTGCCATGCTTGAGTCGCAGAGACAGCAACTGAAGATAATTAGCTGTGCAGACAGACTATCTTCCCATGAGTTCTTAATGACCAAAACAATTTTTTGAAGCAAATAAAACAAGTTCAGATCGTTTTTCTGCATTGAAATGGAGTAGTTTTTTTCAGCTTCCTCCAAAATAAGAATTAATAATAAGAATTGTTGGTTTCAGAGGTCAGTCACACAAGTGTTATAAAGAAATAATCCCCCGTTTTGTTTCCTCAACTTGGCAACAGCTGAAGCCATTTTCAACTGTTGTTTGCAGGCAAGAAGAAGGCAGGGAACACTTTCTTCCTAAATTTATGGAACATGTCCAGCATAGCAGGTTGCCAAGGCAACGTTTTTCATCCCAGGAAGGTACCAACCATTGTTATTGCTCTGCTAAATGAATGAGTGGGCTTCACTAATGAAGACGGAGCCATACTCTGGGTAAGTCTGTAATCCTTGAGGGAAAAATAAAATTGAGATGTGGCACTCAGGCTGAGCCTTGCAAAGTCACAGTGCCCTCAGATGTTTCCACGTGCCTCTCATAGTAAATGGAAAGCTTGATCTTGCTGTTTATCAAAAGAAGGAAAGCAAATACAATTATTTAACAGGGGGCGTTCCAGATTTTGCAGCTCTTGAAAGTTACACAATTCGGGGGTAGGGAGGGTCTTTTAAAAAAAAGAATACAAAAATACATTACTTTTGCAAATTTTACAAAAATTGATGACCAAGGAAACATCGTTAAGGGCCTCAGGAGTTTATGCTAATAAGGAAACCTGAAGCTTAAGCTCCATTTGCTTTTTAGTAAGTCCATCCCCGCTTTTGAGGACCTACTATGTGCTAGAAAGTTTTACATGCGTTCTCTCATTTAACCCTCCCAACAATTTCCTGAAATTGTTGTTCTTACCTCCATGTATTTAGGATGCTAAGAAAAGTAACCACTCATTTTCTTTATATCTTTTTATATTATTTGAATTTTCTACATAATATGTATTTCCTTTGTTATCATAAACAACAGTGAACTCATTTTTATTTTGATAAACAGAAAAATATGAGAAAGAAAGAAACTGCCTACAACCTTTGTGTATAGAGTTTAATGCCATTTTACCAGCATGTGGCAGAAAGCCTAGCCCTCAGTATTATTTGTCATCTATTCAAACAGATGTATCCTGCTTGGAAGGCTGCATTCTTTACATACCTAAGTTGTCTCTAAAGGGCTCAATGCCAGGCTAGGGGAAAGGAAAAACCGCCTCATGGATAACAGGTCTATATCTAAAAAAGACCAAAATTCCAAAAAATCAGGAATGCTCTTTGCTCCCAAATTCTCAACTTCTTTTCCTTCATTGTCATCTCTGCAAAAATAAGCTGTGTACTTATGTCTGTTGAGGCATGATATTTCTTTAATAATAGGTAATATTATTTTATCTCATAATTGAAATTAATTATAATTAATATAATTCCTCTGGGATTTTGACATGAATCCCCCCTCTTACTCCAACTGATTCTTAAGAACAGTTTTTGGAGAAGATTGTTCTGAGGGTACTGTAGTCTCTCAAAGAACTGACTTCTGGGGAAAAGAGGGTACCGCCTCTACCAGAATCGATAGAATCTGATGGTGCCAGGCAGAAGAAAGATGTGATAAGTTCTCAAGATACTGGGACCGGAATCCCTGTCGTCTACAACAGGAACTGGCCTTGTTCTACCTGGTTCCTGATGGCAGGGCTCAGAGCAGTGGGTGAGAGCTGTAAGAGCCCAGATGGTGTCTAGAGGTGAAAAAAGTTAGCAGTAAGTAGAATGGATCCACAGAGGAATGGGTACCTTGTGAAGAACTGAGTTTTTCACCACTATTAATGTTCAACCCAGGGCTGATAAAGTGATATTATAGAAAGGATTTCTCACTCTTTAGAGGGTTGAACAGGGCATTTACATTTTAAGGCTTCCAAGTCTTAGGAATTAATTTAATTCTTAATTCTATTGAGCTAAGAATTTGAGGGAGCCAGGAGAGTATTGCACACACTACATTATTCATTCTGCAAAATATTTTGGTTATCTTATCGCATAATCCACATGTTCCTATCAATACAAAGATCATCATTTTACTCTTAGAAAATTTTACCTCGGTCATGGGAAGGGGCTCTATTTAGTATAGCCTAAAGAATAATAGACTTCTTTTTAAATTTGTGAATTACCAGAGGGAGTTGAAAGAAAGTGTCTGCTTGGGTGTACTTTTTTTTGGTAAAACTATAGTCTTACTCCTACACAGAAGATTATAATTATACAGATAACCAAAGATAAGTTAGAAAATCTAGGCAAGAAAGCCAGCTGATCCAGATATTTTTTAAAAGCTGGTTTTTTTGCAGGGAGAGGGGTTGTCTAATCTTCTATGTCATTATAAGACTTGGAGCTTCTGTAAATGTGGCAGGCAATTCTTTTTTTTTTCATTATTTAATGACACTTTAATTTTCATTATAGAAAATTTCAGTGATGCCCAAAAGTAGAGAGACGAGCATAATGAACCCCTGGTGACTACCACCCAGATTTAATAATTATCAACATTCTGTTGTCTTGTTTTATTTACCCCCACACCCCACTTTTTTTTCCTTAAATTTCAAAATCAAATTCCAGACATCAGATATTTCACTTAGTACTTCAGTACATCACAGCTTTAAAGAATGGTTCTTAAGAGTTCTTTTTTTTTTTTTTTTTTTTGAGAATAAATATTTACCAATAAGTGGCAAAAAATTGGTCACCAAAAAGAAAAAAAAGATGCTGTTTGGAGCCTTTCCATACACATGGACCAAATCTATGTTGGACTATAACTCTGCTGAGAGAGCATTTATTCATCTAATGAACAAGTAATTGTTTTTTCAGTGCCTGTTGTGTACCAAGCACTGTGCCAGGTCTTGGGAGATGGAAGACAGGCAAACCTTTGCCCTTTAGAGTCAACAGTGTATAGATGTGGTCAGCTGGAGACCTGAGCAGCTCCAGAATGGCAAATAAGTGTATGCACAATGGACAGAAAGATACTGTAAGGTCACACAGGTAGCCGCAGCTTAGTGAGGCAAAGCTAGGAAACACTATCCAAGACCCCACCACCAATGCTGTGCCTCGCTGTCAGAGAGGGTGTGGCACCCTTAGGACAAAGGAAACAAGGCTGCGTATGATCTAGAATGAGGTAATCCAGGAGTGGACTCAAGGTCCAAAGTGGGGCTATGTCAAAAATGAGGCTCGGAACAATTGCTAATGCTGATTTCTTTTTTTACACACACATTTAAAGCATCACACTATTCACATGCAAGGATATACTGTACCATCCACTGCATAGGGTCACTGGTAATATGATGTATTTGAATGAATAAACATATTGACTTGTATTATTTACTTGTATTTACCCATATTAATAGCTTTCTGCAGTGCTACAACCAGTTCTTTCCCTTGTCACATCTTGGTCCTCACATCAAGAGATGTATCCTTTGAATCTGGGCTGGCCTTAGCATCTTGCTTGACATTTAAGTCCATGATCCATTTTAAGTTATTTTTTACATAAGGTGTGAGGTTTAGGTCAAGTTTCATTTGTTTATCTATTCAACTATTAATGAACATTTAGACTCTTTCCAGGGGGCTACTAAGTACAATGCAGGATTATTCACAGTAGCCAAAAGGTGGAAACAACCCTATGTCCATGAATGGATGAATGGATAAATAAAATATGGTACATATGTACAATGGAATATTATTCAGTTCTAACAAAGAAGGAAATTGTGACATATGCTACTACAGCAACAGAAATGAACCTTGAACACATTATGCTAAGTGAAATAAGCCAGACACAAAAGAATAAATACTGTACGAATCCACTTATATGAAGTGTCAAAGTAGTCAAATTCATAGAGATAGAAAGTAGAATGATGGTTGTCAGGGGCTGGGGGTAGGGAGGAATAGAGAGTTAGTGTTTAATGACTAAGTTTTAGTTTAGGAAGAAAAAACTATTTGGGGATGGATGGTCGTGATGGTTGCACAATAATATGAATGTACTAAATGCCACTGAACTGTACACTTAAAATGGCTAAAATTATAGATTTTAGGTATATTTTGCCACAATAAAAAAAAGGAGGCAGAGAACAATGCCGTATTACATTCTTTTTTTTTTTTTTTAGCTTTATTCCCTGCTTTTGGTTTTGTTGAAATATAATTAATATATAACATTGTATATATCATGATATTTGATATGTATATATTATAAATTGATTACCACAGTAAGGTTGGTTAGCATATCCACATTCATCGCCTCACATAATTGCATTTTTTGTGTGTGTATGTGTGTGTGGTAGGAACGTTTAAGATCTATCTCTTAGCAGCTTTCAAGAGTAGACAATACAGTATAGTCACCACGTTGTACCCTAGATTCCCAGAACTTATTCATCTTATAACTGAAAGTTTATGGTCTTTGACCAATGTCTCCCATTGCCATCCCCCACCCCAGTCCCAGCAACCACCATTGTACTCTCTTTATATAAGTTTGACTTTCTTTTCAGATTCCACATATAAGTATGATCATACAGTATTTGTCTGTCTCTGTCTGACTTATTTTACTTAGCATAATGCCCTCAAGGTCTATTCATATTGTCATTAATGGCAGAATGTTCTTCTTTTTTTTACAGCTGAATAATTTTGTGTGTGTGTGTGTGTGTATTAGATTTTCTTTATCCATTCATCTTTTGATAGACACTAGGTTGTTTCCATGTCTTAGCTATTGTGAATAATTCTGCAATGAACAGGAGAGTGCAGATATGTCTTTAAGATAGTGATTTCATTTCCTTCAAATATATACCCAGAGGTGAGATTGCTGAATCACATGGTAGTTCTATTTTTAATCTTTTGAGTAACCTCTATACTGTTTTCCTTAGTGACTCCACCAAATGACATTCCTACCAACATTGCACAAGTGTTCCCTTTTCTCTACATTGTTGCCAAAGCTTATTATCTCGTATCTTTTCGATAATAGCTGTTAGAACAGGTGTGATCCATTGCACATTCTTGTACATGGCTTTTGGCAGACATATTCATTTTTCTTGAAATTGCTGGGTCATATGGTAAGTGTATGTTTGTTTACCTTTAGTCGCTACTTAGACCTGGTTTTTAAGCTTTGAAGGACCAGTCACATTCTTATTGAGTGGTTGTCATCATTTCTATTGACGTGTAACTGATTATCACAAATTTATAGGCTTAAAATAATGCCCATTTGTTAGCTCACATTTTCTTTGGGTCAGGAATCTGGGCACAGCTTAGCTGAGTCCTTTGCTCAGGTGTGGGAAACCCAAGGTGTGCTGGAACCGACCTCCAAATGAGGGCGGGGCTTAGAGACCAAAGAAAGAGGGTAACAACTCCAGAATTAAACAAAGAGTTTATTAAGAGAACTTCCAGACAGATGCAGAGTCTTAGGT